TGAAGGGATTTTCCTCTTGAAAATTTCTCCCCACCCGCCCCCCGGGATCCCCCGAGCTTAAACAAAGTTCTAAGACTAAACAAAGCCTGCCTTCGACGCTTCCTGAACCTTCAAGGTCCCACAGGCTATATATATATATATATATATATATATATATATACACAATATATATATATATATATACACAATATATATATATTATATATATGAGGAGTGGGCAGCATGGCAGTGACGGAAATCAGCGCCTGTCACTGCAGAGCACAAAGTGATTCATTATTATAAACCCACAAACAGACACTAGTGGGAATGTGGCAGGTGGGAGGTTTGGGGGGGAGCGGTTGCGCAATTTGCTACAAGAAATAAGGCGGGAATAAAGAACGTGGCAGGCACTGAATGAAACATCTGAAACACAAGTTCTTTTTTGTGTGCTTGTGATGTCAAACAATGTCACGGGGCGGGCGAGCTGCTGCTTGGTAAAGGGCTCCGGCTACAGCTGATGTGTGAAAAGAAAGGCGTGAGTAGAAAAAAATGGAGAACTGGGGATAACAAGTGATTAGTCAGCGCTACAACCACGTCAGAGACGAGGATCCACGAAGAACGCTGTGTCCCATCCGGGATACCGTTACCGGTGGTGTGCTGCTAATCCGGGTGACTAACTCCGTTGATGTAAGTCGTTCAAGATGAGGAATTGTTGGAATGAATGGTCGAAAACGCAGGCGACGACCAACAGGAAATTACAGCAATGACAGCAGGACCTGCTGATGCGAGGACAAGATGTGGCTCAAAATGGATTGTATTCTTATTTCATTTCATTTTGTTTATCTTTTATTTGTCACTCTTATTATTATATTTGTTACTCGTATTATTATTATTGCTCTTCTTAATTTATTACATGTGTTACTCTTATTATTTCCTTTTATTCTGTTCCATTTATCACATAGTTCCATTACTACATTAAAATGTCCGGCCTCTCTTGAAACATTTTTGTTCATATTTAAATATAATGCAGTATAGGAGGACATATCTAGGTTAGACCACGTGCTATCCACGGCTCTGATGCGTGTGTGCGAATGTGTGTATAGCGTTGCGTCGCTATGGAAACGCCGTCGTCTCTGACGTGAGCACGTATAAATTTGGTCTTTTTTGTTATGCTGCCTAGCAACCGGTTTCTGTGGCAACCAGCTCTGAGTGAAAGACAGAAGCGGCGGCAGCGACACTTCCGGGTTCTTTCGGTGCACCAGAAGAACGGAAACTCCACTCCGAGTGTTTTCGATGTCGTTTTTTAAACCGCCGGCCGCCTTTGTTGCATGATGAACGAAGCAGTGAAGCCGCGCATCGAGTTTTAATGACGTTTGTTGACATTTAATAAAGATTGATAACGCGTTTGTCCCGTCCTTGTTTTCGCTTCGCAAATGCCACATAGACGAATGCATTTCCAGTGTTTTTTGCAGAGCACGGTATTCTCAAGTAAGCATATTACATTTACGTGGCAAGCTCACACTGTTAAATATCTTTTTTTGCATTTTTAAAAATGCATTAAATCATAAATTAGATGGTAGAACAGACGTTTATCTCTTAGATATTGCACACGTATGTAACATTATTTTTTAAAGTGTGAACTGTCAGTTGCAGAGGCAAAGTTTAGACTTGATAATCACAGAGTAGCAGAGGGATATAAAAAGTGACCTTGACGTTCCCAGATTTCAGGACCTAGTGTGAAAAGTATGACGGAGGAGTTAGAAGAAATCAATACAGAACAGAAAAAAGTGGCAGAGGGTTGAAAATGACAAGATTCCATAGACAACGTCTAAGAGTTGTGTGTAAAATAAATGCCTCGACCGTGGTAAATGGCTCAGCATAGTGTGACTTTGTAGCATAATAACAGAGCCCTGCTGAGAGATAGACCAAACACACCTTCAGTTCAAAGAGCACCTCTAATTCAGGCCAGAATAATATATACTGTCTGCTAAGGACAACCAGATGAAGATCAGGTGTATTGGAATTTTATTTATAAAAATTAATTAAAGATTATCCAAAAGTAAAATTCTCCGTCTGTTTAAATGTTGCTGATGCAAAGCAGAGGCAGCATAAATGCTTCAGTGCATCCAAAACCAGGAACTTGAGGGTGAAACTACCTACAGTACCAAAGACGGAGAATATGACGACAACAAAACCCTACTGCTGTCAACTGTATTTTTGTTTTGATCATTTTGTTTCAAACAATGTTGGACAATGATCACTTTCTGACTAACTTTTGGAAACTAGATTTGCAACGTGAGAAAGTTCTAATGGTTTAAACAATTTAAAGTTTAAACAATGACACTGCTTAGTGTTTTGTTAAAAAAAAACAGCCAATAATTTATCAGACATTGTTGCATTTATAGTTTTTAAAATTTGTATTAATACATTTAACGTTGCAGGCACTGCCAAAACTTATCATAGATTTCTCTGAACAATATCCCTTTATGGTGCAGACAGGACGAAACCCTCATCTAACACTGTTTTCACTAAAGTCTGGATTAAAAGCTTGGAATTACACCACAGTCCCGACTTCAAACCGATTGTTCCTCGAGAGTTTGTTTGTTTGAAACTTGTGATGGTCTAGACTCCAGTCGGGTAAAAAAAAAAAAAAAAAAAAAACCACAGCGTTGTCTGATGCCCTTGATGTGCTTTGTTTTGCTTGCCCCTGTCTCTTAGTGTATTTTCGGGAAGCCACTAACTTGCACTGTGCTCATGAGGCCAGCCCCTGTTTCCTTTTGGAAGGCGGGCTGTGTTTGCCTACTTCTCCTGCCCAAAATATTTGTTGCCAGGCAACGGTTAGGCCTATCCCACCACAGTAGTTTTGTTTACACCCTTTCTGGCTGCAGAGCCCGAGAAGAGTGCATAAGTCAGAGGCGTTCCCCACGTCACAGAGAAATCTGACCCGTCTGCTGCTTCTGTCCAACCCCAGTCTCTGTTACTCTCAGTCTCATACCATAGTTTTTCCTACAGCTACTCAACACTTTTATTCTGCTTCTGTCAGCTTTATTCACAGAACTCAGAACTGTTCTTATTTTCTACTCGATCAGCCGTTCTGGGTAATAGCTGCAACTCAGGTTAAGATTGTTCTTAAAGTTCAACACTTGACTCTACTTTCACATCTGTTTTTGAACGTATTTCCTGATCATTTTTATGTTTCTGTTGCCCTTTTTACAAAACATGTAAAAACCTGACTTTAACTCTTCCCTGTGTAAACGCGGCGCGATGATAGCGTGCGAAACAGCAGGAGCTCAGCTAAAACTAAGGGAGGAGGAGCCCTACATTTAATAATACCTCAATGGAAAGTGAACCATAAACTTTTGAACTTGGAACATCCCTGTTTTTACTGCAGAGTTTTCAGCCTGTGAACATTCAGCTCGGTTGGAACCGTGTCAAGTGCAGAACACAGCAGTTCTTCTGTTTCTCTTCTACCTCCTCCTGTCTTTGGCTCACATACTCAGGTCATACTGAAGGACAGAGCTGTACGACATGCAGAATTGTTTTTGTTTCCTCAGTTAGGCACATTTTCAGTGTATATGCATCAAATAAATGTATTTAATACTAAACACAATATCTTGCTTCCATGTTTGTTACTATATGCATTTGTGAAGTGTATTAACGTGGATGTGGTTGACCATGCTTGGTATGGGATATCAGATACTTAATTAATGTACTGTGACTTTAACATGTTCAAATAACAATAATGAATTACAGACACTTTCTCCAATTTCTGGTACATCACTCCACCGGTGCACACACTCCAGCCCAGCAGGGGGCGGTAATGTACCTTAAATAATTTGCAAATCAGAAAAGGATGAGAAGGATGTATTGAGATTTCAGCTCATTATTGTATAGTTGTGCAACTTTTATACACCTGGTAAACGTACTTCAAGCTTACAGTATCACTGCAACAACGCCACCTAACGCTAGCTACGGTAGCCCTGGCAAACAGTGAAGCCAGGAAAAGTTGACAGGATAAAATGTTTAACATTAAAGCTGTAATTTCACACATGAGTGTAGCAGACAGTTGAAGAAAGCACCAAAATCAA